CGGTCGGTGAGGAAGGAGGAGAACCACTGCATAACAGTGCCTCCCACTCCTAACTCACCGAGACGCCGCAGCATGATACCATGGTCCACAGTATCAAAAGCCGCTGAGAGGTCCAAAAGTACAAGGACAGAGGAATAACCCCTGTCCCGGGCCCTCCAGAGATCATTTACCAACGTGACCAATGCCGTTTCCGCGCTGTGTCCCGGCCTGAAGCCCGACTGGTATGGGTCTAGATAATCTGTGGGCTTTGTGGGCTTTGTTACAGAATGTGGGCTTTGTTACAGAACATTTTCCCAACAGTATTGTTTTCACCTGATCCTTGCTTGGAAAATATATAATAAAAAATCCTAAAAGGCAACCAACACCTGCACCAATAACAACTTCCACCAGACCACGAAAGATGCTACGAAAAGTGGATCCTATGAAAAAGAAATGGGAAAAAGTCAAGAAGATATTTTAATGTAATTTTTTAGTGATTTTAAAAATACAAGTAAACAATTTCTGCAAAACTTAAGAAAACGTTAATCACCAAAGGTTGTGTCATGCAACTGAGATGGGTGGCCATTTAAATGGTAAAAATAATTAAATAATGTTGGGCAAGTAATCAAAGTGCAACCCCATAAGATAAGGCAGAATTGCCTCTAATCAGCATCTGAAAACCAGATTCATGACAAGTAAAACAATCGGCATCAGAGAGCTCAAAAGATCAGATTTGAAGAAATTTTGTTTTCTTTTTTCAAGTCCCATAATAATATGGCTTAAGAGATATTTCTGTATTAAAAATATTTCCCTACTGATTTCTAATCATATATGAATATACTCTGGCAATCTTTTGGATTGTGTCACATTTACATTAGATTGTCGTCTTCTCAACTTCACCCAATTTGGGAAGGGCAGCCTGGCCTTCTGTACAGCCATGGACCATTTTCTTGGATTTCGGATACTTTTCTCTGCTGCTATTGGCTTTTTATGCCCTCCAGGGAGAAAGAACTGGGCAGAACTGGGCAAATCCCTTCAGTTCTGCAGGACATTTAACTGGGAGGTATGGGAAATGCCAGTTCTTCTGCTTTACTACATAGTTTCCTGCTGTTGATCATGTTCTATGGTTTTCTTGTGAATGTGGGCTTATTGAGCTTTCAGAATTATGACCCATTTATTTACAATAATTCAACAAAAACAAATAGAGTGAAAGCAAAAAAAACAGTGAAATCAAGCTCCAAAAGTACACATTTGCATCTACATTTTGAACTCTATCATAGTAGAGTTCAGCCATTTTGTTTGTGTGTAAAGAAAAGGTAATATCAGTTAAGTACTGTATACAAAAGACTATTTTATTTTCTAATTTTCATAAACCAATACTGAAAAGTTATGTCATGAAAATTTGGGGGCTCCAGAGAGTTTTGAGGACTCATGATGTTCACAAACTATACCACTGAATTATGTGTGTATGATTATTTGCATCTTTGATTTGGCTAAAGTTGTATCTAAATATCACCAGAATATATAAAAAAAGTGATATCTGTCTTAGGTTTTTAATATTCTACTGATTTATTTTAATTCAGTTATCTAGGTCTTCATGGTTTTGCCTTCTCCTAAGAAATAAAGATGCTACAAATAAATCTTATTTCCAATGTTGATTTTTAATAATTCACCCCCCACCTTTCAATGGGTACATGTTCTGTTTCATCAGTTCTAGAGTGTAGCAATATTACCTGAGGAAAAAGCCATGCCTAAGAAAATGTTAAAGCCTGTGATGGCTACAATGTCATCCATACTAGCAGCAGCTATTAGTAAAGTTGGAATTCCTTGATCTACACCAAGACCTTGTCTCTGTAACATCAGCATGGAAAGGACCACAACAGCTGGAGATACAGCACCTAGAACAAATCTGAAAATGTACACATTATTAGATCTCATCAAGTCAAGAAATAATGTTCAGCCATTGTTAAATCTGTCAAGGTTTGTTGGAGGCAGCAGAATATAGATGGTTAAATAATGTATTGGTAGAAAAATCACTCTCTTTCCCACAACAGTTTAGAATGTTAGAAAACAAACACAGAATAAACCAAAATGAGGTGGGTATTTATTTTATTTATTTATTTATTTATTTCATTTATACCCCGCCCTTCTCCCGGAGGACTCAGGGCGGCTTACAGCCAGTTTAAAACAATCCCATATAAATACCAAATACAAATCTAAAATAATTAAAAATAAATATTTGAATTGGCCGCTCTATTAAAATTTTGTTAAAACCAATTAAAATACCCCCTAGGCCAGTCCTGCCTGCTGAAACAGCCAAGTCTTGAGGGCGCGGCGGAAGGAGGGGAGATCTGGAATCACCCGGATCTCTGGGGCAGCTCGTTCCAGAGGGTGGGCGCTCCGACAGAGAAGGCTCTCCCCCTGGGGGTCGCCAACCGACACTGTCTGGTTGGCGGCACCCTGAGGAGGCCCTCTCTGTGGGAGCGTATCGGCCGGTGGGAGGTAATCTGTGGCAGAAGGCGGTCTCAGAGGTAACCAGGTCCGATGCCATGGCGCGCTTTAAAGGTGATAATCAGCACCTTGAAGCGCACTCGGAAGACCACAGGCAGCCAGTGCAGCTCGCGCAGCAGCGGCGTTACATGGGAGCGA